TGCCAATTTTTCTCTATTTTATTTAATATATTAATAATAATTATTTTGAAGTAATTTTTAGTTATTTACTTCAATATCCAGGTCATCTCTGAGTTTGACTCTGTTAATTATTTTATCTCTACCGGTTCCATTTTTTTTCTGATGCTTTGCATTCCAGATGTTCTGGATGATATGTTAGAGAAGTGCTGGATTTTGCTATCTTCCTTGAAAGACTGTTAACATCTGTTTGGTAGTTAGTTAATTCCTGAAGAATAACCTTGAGTTAAAATCAGAACCACCATGATTCTGTTTAGGCTTGATTTTAGACTTTGCTAAGGTGGGTCTATTTCGGCTTGTTACTCCTCCAAGGCCATGGTTTTTACTCATAGGACTTCATCATCCTAATGTCTCAGCTAAAATCCAAATGTGGCTGGGTTAGAATTTCAGGATCTATTCAGCACTCTGAAGCCATTCACATTTCTACTTAGTATTTGATCCCTAAGAAGTTATTCTTTGACAAGTTCTTAGAGTAGCACCTGGAGCATATGCAATCTAAAAGTATAATTTTGGGGGCTTTCGACTCTGTAGCTTTCTCCTTTAACAACTTGCTCCCAAATCCCAAGCATCCTGGCAACCCTGACCTCTAATTTCTGTTTCCTTTACTAGTGAGATTAATTCTCGATGCTTGGGTTTCATTTCTCTGCAATGTAGTTGAGAAAATGCTGGCCACCAGCTCCCTACCCCTCACTCGGTTAGCCACTCACACTCTCACTTGCTCACCAGCACATACTCAGAATTTCCCATATACTCACTCACTCACACGGGGACTCACATAGTCCGACTGGCTCAGCCGCCATCTTCCTAACTTTTCAATTGTTATTATTTTAGAGGCATTATTGTTATGGCACTGAAGTCTTGGAACTATTTGATCTAGCTACTGCACGTTCACAACTTTGTTGCCACTTACTAGAGACATTATTATTAACAGTATTTGCAAGAACACTGTAGAAATATTGTAGTTACTGTCTCAAGTTTTTTATACAGTACTCTACACTCTGTGATGTTTCAAACTTTTAATCATTATATTAAAAAGAGAAGTATAAAGCATTAAGGAAAAATAACCAAATGAAAGAAGTATTTGGTTTAAAGAATCCATTCCAGCATTTTAGGAGGCTGAGGTAGGAGAGTCGCTTAAGGTCAGGAGTTCAAGACCAGCCTGGGCAACATAGTGAGACCACATCTCTACAAACAAATCAAATAATTAGCTGGGCATGGTGGCACATGTCTATAGTCCCAACTACTTGGGAGGTTGAGGCAGGAGAACTGCCTGAGCCCAGTAGGTCGAGGTTGTAGTCAGCCCTGAACATGCCACTGCACTCCAGCTTAAGCAACAAATACTGTGAGACTCTGATTTTTTTAAAAAACCTGAAATAACAATTTTAATTTTGCTTTTAACATGTATTAAATTCGTGGGTACTCCTCCCTTTCAGAAGTGCTGCTTGATTTCCTCCCTGTGTTGTGTCCTGGACTTAATGACTCCCTTCTAACTGATAGAATAATGTAATCATATGTGACTCTGCATATTGAACATAAAATTCACTGTGGTTTCCACTTTGGCTCTCTCTCTGAGATCAAGAGCTCTGGGCAAACTGAGCTGCTACATTCACAAGCAGCTCTGTGTTCAGGTCCATATGGATGGGAACCAAGGCCTTCTGGGACCAGCAATAAAGAACTGAAGACTTTCCTAACAGCCATGTGAGTGAGCCATAGTTCATGTGAATCCCAGCCCCAGGCAAGCCCTCAGATGATGCAGCCCTGACTGACAACTGGACTGCAAACTTGTGAGAGGCCTGAACCAGAAGCACTCACGGAAAACTCTTCTAGTTTTCCGATCATCAAAAACTGTAAGAGATAATACATATTTATTGTTTTGGCCTGCTAAGTTTTAGAAAATTTGTAGATAGCTAATACAGCTTCCAAAGAAAGAATTATTTCTGCAGTAGATAGTTAATACAGCTTCTAAAGAAAGAATGATTTCTTGCACTTTGTTTCATTTGTGCTAAGTTAATTGTAAGACATTAGACATGATGTTTCTCTCTCTTGCTCACTCACTCACACTTGCTCTATCTCCCTCTCTCCCCATACCCAAGCATTGAAAAAGAAAGAGAAAAAAGAAAAAGGAAAAAAAAGACATTAAACATGCCATTTGGTTTTACAGTTTAAGAAGAATCCTCCTGGCTAAACAGGATGTATTTTTATTACCATTCACAAAAAAAATCTATGTATTCAAACTTCAATTTCTAACTGTGAGCCAAATAACCACAAAAGGAAGATCCAGGCCATGTTTGGCTAATTCTAAGATGACCTTCCAATAACCACCTCTGGTTATTTACCTTCCAATAGTTATTCAATCAACACTAATGTAGAGTCATGTAATGTAGGTACTGCTGTGAAGGATTTTGCAGATGTAATTAAGGGTCCCAATCAGTTAAGATGGGGATAATCCTGGATTAGACAGTCCTAATCAGGTAAACCCTTAAAAGGATTGGGTTCTTCCTGAACATAGAGATTCACAGTGTGAGAGGGATTCAGTGAGAGGGATTTCCTCCACTGTGGACTTTGCATATGGAGACGCTGACTGGCAAAGAATGCTGGTGGGCACTAGGAATTGGGGGCAATCCTCCTTCTCTACCCTGACAGCTGGCAAGGAAACAGGGACCTCGGTCCTACCACTGCCAGAAACCAAACTGTGCCTGTAGGCTCCATATAAGCCTGGAGAAGAACTCTAATCTCAAGATGAGGACACAGTTTTGTGAAATCTCCATCAGATAATCTATTGACACCATGCCTGAATTTCTGACTAAGAAACTGTAAACAAATAAGTGGGTTTTGTTGAAAGTCACTGTGTTTTCAGTAATGACTTATACAGTAATTGAAAATTAATACACAGGCTCTACAGTAATTACACAGCATTTTCTTCACTAAAACGAATTTATGAACTAATATGCACAGTTCATAATATGCATGAAATAATATCTTTTCTAATTTTTTTAGTATTTTTAATTTTATAATTTTGTGGTGCAATTAAATTTTAATACGATCATATTTCTTCTTTTTTTTTTCTTTTTTTTTTTTGAGTTGGAGTCTCACTCCACCGCCTGGGCTGGAGTGCAGTGACACACTCACCACCACTCCAGCATTGACCTGCTGGGCTCCAGCAACCCTTCTGCCTCAGCTTTCCAAGTAGCCAGAACTACAGGCCCACTCTACCACGCCCGGTTAATTTTTTATTTATTGTAGAGATGAGGTCTCACCAAGTTGCCTGGGCTGTCTTGAATCTGTGGGCTCAGGCAATCCACTCGCTTCAGCCTCCCAAAGTGCTAGAATTACAGGCTGAGCCACTGAGCCCAGCCTTAATATGATATTTCAATCATTTAACAAAAATTAATGTAGTGCCTACTATGTACCTGGTACACCTTTATATCCTACAGATACCACTTCGACGAAAACAGTCCAAAGTCCCTGTGCTCTGTGCCATACATTCTAGAGGCTTCGCAAGAGCAACACAGAACTATTGGAGTATTTACAGTGAAGAAATGACATGACCTGATTCGCATTAGCAGGACTACTGACCACTGTGGGGTAAATAGTCATGGGCAGCATGTGAGGGGACAGTGCTAGTGAAAGGGCCACAGCCTCAACCTGCTTAACACAAACTTTCCTTCTGCCTTAGCCTTCCAAGTAGCTGGAACCACAGACACATACCATCGTGCCCAGCAAATTATTTGATTTATTGTAGAGATGAGGTCTTGCCAAGTTGTCCAAGCTGGTCTCAAGCCCCTGGGCTCAGGCAATCCTGTTGCCTCTGCTTCCCAAAGTGCTGAGATTACAGGTGTGAGCCACTGTGCCCAGCCATATACATCTATCTACAGAGCCTAGCAGGGTATTCTTACATTTGGTAATTAATACATTTGTAGAAATATCTAAAAATAAATGTCCTTCTTATGTTAATCAGGCCTTAAAAAATACCAGTGTCCCAATAAAATATGCACACACCTCAGACGTGAGTCATTTATAAAAACAGGCAGTGTGTGAGCACTGGTGAAGAGCATTTTGACTGCATTGAGCACTTGCAACTCTGAGGTGATTGGAGTCTGTCCAGGTTCCTAGTTACAACATACAGTAAGTAACAAATAGTGATTCTTTGCATGGAGGAGACGTCCTGGACCCACACACAGAAACTCAGGACTATGAAACGAGAGAATTTTAAAATACAAAAACCCAGAATCACAGATACCTAAGCTTGAAAAGTAAAACTAGGGAGCTTTTTAAGTGTAATAGCAATGTGTTTAGATACATTTATATATGAAGGGGCCATAATCATTTCTTTTACAAGTTAAATTCCTGATCATTCAGGAGTTACCAAGATTGTGCTACCCACTGTAGATAATAAACAAAAAGGAAGCTGGTCTTTATGAGACTCTGGTGCTTTCAAACACAACTCCAAGTTTAATTTCTAAATCTCCATTCCCACTCTCTGGCAACACGTTCCCTGGGCTGTTTTCTTTGGAAGATTCCAGGGAAGAGGTGATGAGTGGAAGAAAGGGAGTCCGTTCAGGGAGAAGGATTCCAGGACAAGAAGCGAAGGAAAAAGGGCTGAGCCCAGCCTGAGGGTCTTTCCCTGGTTCCCACAGACAGATCCTGGGCCAGGACTCAGGGAGACAGTGTGACAAAGAGCGCCCGCTGCAGGAGGAGAGGGTCGGGGCAAAATACCAGGTCCCCGGGTGTCGCTCTCAAGCCCCGAGGGCGGTGTCTGGGGCGGGGAGGCCCAGCGTCGGGGACTCCCCAACCCCGGAGTTTCATTTCTCTCCCAACCAGTGTCGGGTCTTTCTTCCTGGATACTCATGACGCGGTCCCACTTCTCACTCCCTTTGGGTGCTGGGTTGTAGAGAAGCCAATCGGCATCTCCCCAGTTGCCGGGTGTGAAAATGCGAAGGCGCCAGACCCGGAAGACGCTGGCCATGGCGTCCCGAGCCCTCCTCTTGGTGCTCTCGGGGGTCTTCTCCCCTACCGAGACCCGGACGGGTGAGTACGGGGTCGGGAGGGAAACGGCCTCTGCCGGGAGGAGGGAGGGAGCCGCCCGGCGGGGGCGCAGGACCCGGGGAAGCCGCGCTTCCGCCGTCCCCGACCCTTCCTCCCCGCTCCATCTTCCGCCACCCCTTTCCCGCCTCACGAGCCCCCTCGCCCCCTCCTTCCGTCCTCCCGTCCTCCCCTCCCGCCCTTCATCCTCGGACCCGGGGATTTGCGCCGAGCGGAGGGTTGAACCGAGTCTCAGCCCCTCTCCTCCCCCAGGTTTCCACTCCCTGAGGTATTTCAACACCGCCGTGTCCCAGCCCGACCGCGGGGAGCCCCGGTACATCATTGTCGGCTACGTGGACGACACGCAGTTCGTGAGTTTCGACAGCGACGCCGCGAGTCCAAGGATGGAGCCGCGGGCGCAGTGGGTGAAGCAGGAGGGGCCAGATTATTGGGACGAGCAGACACGGATCTGCAAGGGGAACGCACAGACTTTTCGAGTGAGCCTGCGGACCCTGCGTGGCTACTATAACCAGAGCGAGGCCGGTGAGCGACCCCGGGGCCGGGTCACAAGTCACGACTCCTCCCATTCCCCCACGGGTCGTCCGAGTCTAAGAGTCTGAGATTCACTCCGAGGCTGTGGGAACCGCCAAGACCCTCGACCCGACTTTTACCGGGTTTCATTTTCAGTTTATACCAAAATCCAGTGGGTTGGTCAGGGCGGGGGACGTGGCCAAGTGGGCGGGGCTGACCGCGGGGGCGGGGACAGGGTCTCACATCCTCCAGGTGATGCCTGGCTGCGACGTGGGGCCGGACGGGCGCCTCCTCCGCGGGTATGAACAGCACGCCTACGACGGCGCCGATTACATTGCCCTGAACGAGGACCTGAGTTCTTGGACCGCGGCGGACACGGCGGCTCGGATCACCCAGCGCAAGTGGGAGAAAGCCCCTGTGTCAAAGCGACACAAGGAGTAGCTGGAGGGGGAGTGTGTGGAGTGGCTGCTCAGACACCTGGAGAACGGGAAGGAGACGCTGCAGCGCGCGGGTACGAAGGGCCTCGGGGCGCCTCTCCAATCTCCTGCAGATCTCCTGGGCTCGCCCCCCAACAAGGAGGGGGAGAAAAATGGGGTCAGTGCTAGAATATCGCCCTCCTCGGGTCCAGAGCAGGAAGAATCCTCCTGGGTTTCTAGATGCTGTTCCAGAGAGTGACTCTTAGGCCTGCCCTTCTCTCTGGGACAATAAGGGATGGAGTCTCCGAGGAAAGGGAGAGGAAGACAATCCCTGAAATAGAAATCAGCCGTGCCCTTTGACCCCTGCAGCACCCTCGAGCACCATGACTTTCCCTCAGGCCTTGTTCCCTGCCTCACAGTGTCTTTGGAGGACTGACTCCAGCCCTACCAAGTCACTCGACCTCCACTCAGGTCAGGACCAGAAATCCCTGCTCTACCCTCAGAGACTGGAACTTTCCAAGGAGTAGGAGATTGTCCCAGGTGCCTGTGTCAGGCTGGTGTGTGAGCTTTGTGCTCCTTCCCCTAACTCAGTTATTCTCTCCATTCTCAGAATGACCACATGGATGCTGCTGGAATATCCCATGAGGGATGCAAAGTGCCTGAATTTTCTGACTCTTATTCAGATCCCCCAAAGACACATGTGACCCACCACCCCCACCCTGATGGGGACGTCACCCTGAGGTGCTGGGCCCTGGGCTTTTATCCTGCGGAGATCACACTGACCTGGCGGCGAGATGGGGAGGACCAAACTCAGGACATGGAGCTTGTGGAGACCAGGCCTTCAGGGGATGGAACCTTCCAGAAGTGGGCAGCTGTGGTGGTGCCTTCTGGAGAGGAGCAGAGATACATGTGCCATGTGCAGCACAAGGGGCTGCCAGAGCCCCGCACCCTGAGATGGGGTAAGGAGGAGAATGGAGGTCAAGTCTCTTCTCAGGGAAAGCAGGAGGACTTCTGGAGACCCTCAGCAGGGTCAGGGCTGAGGGTGGGGGGTCAGAGGCCCTCACCTTCCCTTCCTTTCCCAGAACCATCTTCCCAGACCACAATCCTCATCGTGGGAATCACTGCTGGCCTGAATCTGGTTCTCTTTGGAGCTGTGGTCACTGGAACTCTGATGTGGAGGAAGAAGATTACAGGTAGGGAAGGGGTAAGGAGTAGGTCTGGGTTTTCTTGTCCTGCTGGAAGTTTCAGTCCCCAGACGGAAGTGTGTCCTGCGTTGTTACTGGGAAGTACTGTCCACACACAGGTGCTTACCCAGCCTGGGACCCTGTGTCCCAACACTTACTCTTTTGCAAAGCACATGTGGAAATAAAGGACAAATGTTTGATGATTGTGGTGGTGGGGACCTGATTCCTAGTAGCCACAGATTATAGGAAGGTCCCTGCTTAAGACAGATCTTTAGGGGCACAAGTGGTCCAGTCCTTATATATTTTCTTTCCTGATATATTTCTTTCCTTATATATTTGTTTCCTGATCCCGCTCTGTTTCTATAATCGCAGTTTGGGAAAGTTCTCTGGCATCCAAACTAGGGGTTCCCCTAGGCCCTCGTGGCTCTGCCTCCTCCCTGGCCTCTCACTGGACATTTTCTTCCCACAGGTGGAAAAGGAGGGAGCTACTCTCAGGCTGCCATAAGTATGGAGGCCATGATCCCCAGCTTCTTGGAACAGTGTAGATAGGATCCCATGAGGGAGCTCACCCACCCCATAATTCCTGCTGTAGTACATCTCCTGTGGGCTGTGCCCAAATCCTGTTTTTTGTTTTGTTTTGTTTTTTTCTGCTCCAGGTGACAACAATGCCGAAGGCTCTGATACTCTTTCATGGCTTGTAAAGATGACACTTTGGGGGCCCTTATATGTGGTTGGGCATGGGGAGCAGAGGGCTGGGCTATGGGGATTCTTTGATTTGGAATTATTGAGCAAGTGATGGGATGTTCAGAATGTCACTACTCACTTTGACCTGAATTTGTTCATGAACATTTTCTTCTATAGCATGAAGCAGCTGCCTTGTGTGGGAAAGAGTGATGCAAGATTTGTTCATGCTTTCCCTTCGTGACTTCAAGAACCTCTGACTTTTCGTTCTAAAAAGAACTCTGAATGTGTCTGTGTTCCTGTTATCATAATGGGAGGATATGGGGAGAAGAGCCCACCCCTGTGTCCACATTGATCCCCTTCTCCACCCTAACCTGTGTGCCTTCCCTGATCATCTTTCCTGTTCCAGAGAAGTGGAGCTGGGATGTCTCCATACCTGTCTCTATTTCATGGTATGCTGAGCTGCAACTTCTTATCTCCCTTCTGAAAATAGAAATCCAAATATAAATTTATTTATTCAAATTCTTGCCATGAGAGGTTGATGGGTTAAGGATGAAATTCCTGAGATTTAAGAGAGAAAAATAAGAGAAAGACCTGAAAACCTTCCAGAATCCATGCTTGTTGTGCTGATCTACTGCAGGTGAGGATTGTGGATGAGATTGTGCCCAGTCAGTGAACTTTCCTTCCTGAGTGACTGTGGTCACTTGGTGGTGTCATCTTTGCTGTTCCATCATCCTTGGCTCTTCAGTATAAAACCTTGTCCCACCAAGACCAGTGATCACAGCTATTCAAACATTGCCCAGGGTGGCCCCTGCACACAGGAATCTCTGTAACGAGACCAGGTTCAGGCTTGTCCAGCTGTTGCCCTTCTACTAGGGCTCTTTCCTGAATTTTTTTTTTTTTTTTTTTTGAGTTGGAGTCTCACTCTGTTGTCCAGACTGGAGTGCAGTGGCCGCTCCCGGCCACCGCAGCCTCGACCTGCTAGGCTCCGGCGATCCAGTCTTCTCAACCTTCCTAGTAACTGGAACTACAGGCATGCACTACCACACCCAACTAATTTTTTTATTTTATTGTAGAGATGAGGTCTCGCCAAGTTACCCAGGCAGGTCTCGAACCCGTGGGCTCAGGCAATCCACTCACCTCAGCCTCCCAAGGCGTGGGATTACAGGCTGAGCCACCAAGCCCAGCTTCTTTCCTGGATTTTACTTTTCATCTTTCCCCCAACCTTTCTAAGGAAACCAGGTTCTGGACTTAGCAAAGAGGAGGGATCCCATAATTTCTTATTTTAGATGAGCTCTGCTGGAATTCCTTTTCTGCTCTGCTCTCCTACTCTCTTCCTGACCTTAGTTCTAGTAACTCTAGTACTAACTCCAATTCAAATTCATGGATTTATAAAGCAGAGCCTAATTTACATTTATACTTGGTTGCAAAATATAATTAATAAACCTAGAATTGTTATTTCCCAAGAGAGAAATATAATTGAGAAATATAACTCTGGCAGGTGCAGGGAGTGTCAGAGTGGGTGGAGGAGTTGAGAGAGGGCGTCTCCCAGGCAGCACTGGTGAGAAAAGCACAGGTGACATCAATGTCAGTGTGAGAGGACATCGTACTTGCTATAGCTGCCACAAAACAGCACTTGGTCCGAGGCCACATTAATAAACATAGTTTCTCTACAATAGGGTAGTGTTCTACAGTGATTCTTCAACAGACATTTGCTGTCACTGTATGTATGACAGAATGTTTTTGCATTTGGAAAACACTGCTGAAATAAAAACAAAAATCGCTGACCTTTGGTGCCTATGTTCTTGTGGGAGGAGACAGACTATATTCTATGTGCAGAGTAAATAAGGAAAGTGACTGTAAGGTAGTAAGTGCTTTGGGGCAGGTGACCTAGAGTGTGGATAAGTGGGGACAAGGAAGATGGCTGTTATATTGTGGTCAGTGTGGGCCATGGCAAAGGTGACCTTTGAGGAAAGATTTGAAAGACATGAGGATATCTGGAGGCATTCTTTCCAGCCAGGGGAGCCCTCCAGTCAAATACACCAGGATAGGAAGTTGTTTTCTGGGATGAGCAAGGAGGCTGGGAAGGCCAGACAGAGTAACTGAGATGAGCTCAGAGGTGCAGCCAGAACAGGTAGGCCTGGAAGATGTGGGGAGGATGTTGACCTTAACTCTGAGTGAGGTGGAGTTAGAGGACAGTTTTAAGAGGGACATGGTATGACTTATGATTTATGTATGTATGTCGGGGTCGCACTCTGTCTCCAGATTAGAGAGCAGTGACACAACAGCTTACTGCAGACCCAATCTCCTGGCTTAGGCAATCCTGCCTTAGCCATCCAGGTAGCTGTAACTACAGGCAGTCACCATCTTGCCAGGTTTGTTTGTTTGTTTTATTTAGAGATGAGTCTCACTAAATTTCTCAGGCTGGTCTGAAACACCTGGGTTTAAGCAATCCTTGCTTGCCTCCCTAAGGAATAACAGGCATGAGCCACCGTGTCTGGTCAACTTCCATTTTAAGAGGGTCTCTCTGACTGCTGAGAACACAGAGCAAGAAAAATATGAGGAATTAGAACAGTAGGAAGCGAGTGCAATATTTCAGGCTGGAGGTGCCGCTTACCTTGACTGGTGTGAGCAGCAGACATCATGGAAAGTGATGAGACTCTGGGTATACTGAAGGTGTACGTCACGTTTCCTACTGGTCTGAGTCTGGGGTTTGAGAAGTCAGACACCCACAGTTCTCAAATGTGTGAATAGAAGGACAGATCTGTTGTCAGTGGAGATGGGGAGACCCTGCAGGAGATACTTGAGGAGGGTGCATCTCAGGTTCTTAGTGGAGATGTCTACTAGAATGCAGGGGAGGGAGCTGGGGTGGCAGGTGGACAAGTCTGGAGTTTAGGAGAAATGACTGGGACCATCTAAATGATACTTAAAGCATCAAGCATGGATGAGGGCACCAAGGGAGTGATTGGCTACAGAAGAGAAAGGGAACTGGGGCTGAACCCTGGACCTCCAGTGCTGAGGGATCCGATCGGACTACATGCTCAGAGCAGACTGCACAGTTCTGCACACCACGGCTAGAAAGCACATGTACCAGGGAGTCCCAGACTTTCCTGTGTACAAGAGTCACCTCGGTGGTACTGAAACACAGGAAGTCTGGAGTTGAGCATGAGGTTCTGTATCGATGGCCAGGTTGGAGCTCATGCTGCTGGTCTCCCAATCACACTTCTAAAATAGCAAGAACACACACCAGGATCCCACATGTCTGCACATCAGCCTCACCTGTAAGGCTTGTAAGTAAGCAATTCCTTGGTTTTGTGTGTAACACTGAGCTGGCAGTTCTGGGTAAGGGCCTGAATATTTTCTAAGCCAGCAATCCCAGTGCTCATCCAGAGTGGGAACCACCGAAGTCAGGTGAGTGTCAGGGTAGGTGGGTGGGGTGAAATATAAATCCATATTTTAAAATGCCTTTTTTTCCTCAGAAAGAATAGGAAGAATTATCAGCAATTATGAGATGTGTTGTTGGGATATCCACATCATTCTTTCTACCAGGGGGTAGAGCTAGGTAGAAGAATCAGGTAAAAAGTTCAGGAAGTAGCCGGGCTCGGTGGCTCAGCCTGTAATCTCGCACTTTGGGAGACTGAGGTGAGTAGATTGCCTGAGCCCGTGGGTTCGAGACCCGCCTGGGCAACTTGGCAAGTTCTCATCTCTACAATAAATCAAAAAATCAGCCAGGTGTGGTAGCACATGCCTGTAATTCCAGCTACTCGCAAGGCTGAGGCGGAAGGATCACCGGAGCCCAGCAGGTCGAGGCTGCAGTGGCTGGCAGCAGCCACTGCACTCCAGTCTGGGCGACAGAGTAAGACTCCAACTCAAAAAAAAAAAAAAGTTCCAACAGAGTGAGACTCCAACTCAAAAAAAAAAGAAGTTCAGGAAGTGGCTCTCAGCTCAGGATGAAGAACATCTCTAAATACTGCTTTTTGACACTCTTCCCTAGAATGACTTCTTGCACACGTGTTGGAGCAAACTATGGACACCAAAATTTCTAATTTACACATAATTTAGTATACATGGTATCGGGTGCAAACTTTACTGTGGGGGAGGTCACAGAACTGTACTTGAGGCTACACAGCCAGGAACAGAATTTTAAAATATCTTTTAAAAATGTAGGTCTTTCAGACATACAGTGTATAGAACTGTATAACCAGCAGACCTTCACTATAAAAACTGCTTAAGTCCTACAGGTGTGTAAAGAAAATTATACTAGATGGAATAATGTAGTGGAAAGCACCAGAAATAACTACATGGGTAGATACATAAGATTTTTTCATAACATTTAAATCTTTTTAAAAGACAATTGTAAGCCAGGCTCGGTGGCTCAGCCTGTAATCCCAGCACTTTGGGAGGCCAAGGTGAGTAGATTGCCTGAGCCCTCAGGTTCGAGACCAACCCAGGCAACTTGGTGAGACCTTGTCTCTACAATAAAATAAAAAATAGCTGGGCGTGTTAGTGTGCATCTGTAGTTCCGGCTACAGGCTGAGACAGAAGGATTGCTGGAGCCCAGAAGGTCGACTCTGGGGTGGCCGTCAGCGTGCGTGCCACTGTACTCCAGCCTAGGTGAAGGAGTGAGACTCCAACTCAAAAAAAAAAGACAATTGTAGGGACTTCACCAAAAATGGTGGAGCAGGAAACTCTAAAAACTCATCCCTCCACTACAGCAACAGTTAACCTAGAAAAAAACTTCAAATTTTTCTGAAATCTGGAACCTAACAAAAAAACTTACAACAACCACGGGAATGTTTAATGAAGAAAAAAGCTTCCAAATTTTGGTGAAAGCATGGTGGCTTTTTTTTTAGGCACCTACTCACTGCCACCCCCAAACCCTCTGTTATCAGGCAGTCATGGAGATGGTGACCCTCCTTCCTGGGGCAGCTTCCTGATTCTTTGTAGTCAAGAATCATGGTTGTGTCCTTCCACGTGTATGATGGCCCCCTGAGGAGTCAGCTCAGAGGTATGTTTTGTTTTACCCCCTGTGAATCTTTTTTAGGGCTGGCGTGTTCTTCATAGCAATGTTTGCCAGAATCATTTAAAATCAT